AGTTTATAAAGCTCAAGCCTGCAGCAGACTGATGATAAATAAATAATCTGAGCAGATGTTGTGTGAGTGGTGAATAAATCTGCGATAGCCACAGGTTTCTGGTTGAGTAAGACACAACATGTGATGTGTCTGTGGGTTACTTTGTGTTTATGGGTGGGTTGAGCGCCATCTAGATGGCTCCCGCATCATGTAATCGTGCCACGTGCGTGTCAGTGTTAAATATGCATTTACAATATATTCTGGGAGAATAAATGGGGAATAACAATGTGGAAGTAATTACATGGTGGGTGGCTCCCTCTCAGCATCTGTCATTTCAATCACCCTGTTGAAATATCCTCGTGTCTGTTTCGTTTTTCATGCTGAGCAGAGACTGAGAATTTTAATTTGCATTGTGTCCCGGTCCAGGCGCTTGCGCTCATCGACAATAAGACTGGACTCAGGAAATATGCATAGAAATTAGAGACTATGAGTCCCTTATGATCGAGCATTAATAAGATTCTGAATGAATTTCTCAGTGCAAATGGCAGCAAGTCACTCAGGGAATGGGCTCAGTATAGATATTGACTCAGATCAAAGTGAAATGACAGAGCAAAGATGACAAGCGGAGCTGCCGGAAGAGTGGACAGTGGGATTATACGGGGAAATTAAAGTAACTTCTTATCACTGCTCACGTCCATTGTGGACACAAATGCGGCCGTGTGTCACTCTGGTGTCCGAACTCACAAAGATTCAAGCCGCAGTGAGGTCACGCTTCAAGTAGCTCCACACAAGGAGTAGAGGAAAACTCTGAACTCATTAAAATAATGTCTAACTGCAAATTGTAATAAGCGTTTAGCGTGCTGATTACATGCAATTAGCATGAGAGTGGCATAAGATCTCCATTTACTTTTACAAAGGTTTAAGTGGAGACAATACGTGTTTGATTAGTGCTCTGAGATGATGGAGAGTTTTTTATGCACCATTATGAACCATAAAGGTCTTCCTCTAGCAGATCATCATGAATCTCTGATGGACATTCAGTACTTAAACTAATTGTGTTTCTCTGCGGTGAATGAGATCGAGCCATTTATGTGAAGTGTGTCTGTGGTGCAGCTGAGCACAGGCGAGCCGATAGTGTAACCTGGTGAATTTATCGACGTGGGATACTGACGTCTGCGTTTCCAACGTCGTTGCTACATGGAGAAACTTCAGCGTAAGGCTCATGATTGTAAACAGGCTTTGAATCGTAGGGCACAGCTTCAGATGGTGCAACGATTTTAACCAATTTCTCCTTCTGACTTTTTGATATTCATGTTCCACATGCACGGCTCCTCTTTTGAAAATAATTGATCACTGCTGGCTAAATTATGGCCGCATGCTGTTTAGCACTTTTATTCAGCTCAATGTGAAATGCTCTTTTATGGTTTAACTACGGCGTTTACCTCCATAAACACACTAATCATACACTCTAAGTCTCTGACGTCAGCCAACTAATATCCTAAGCATCTTGGCCGCAGTGTTTTGTTTTCAATTTAATGCTGATGGAAATGTATGAAATGAGAATTAAGATTTCTTGCAGTGAAAGATTCATGTTTCGAGTTTAAGATGCATCAATCATTCACAGGGCTGGACTGGGTTAAACTGGTCTTGAACCTGCTGGGGTTCAAGATGAATATCAATGCGTGAACCACGTCCTTCTGATTTCATCCTTTTATGTTTCTCAGCTACTAATAACCTCACACATTTACATAATTTATCAATGAGTATTTAACAGAATATCACTGACCATAAGTTACTACAAACTTTTTTTTTTCTTTCTCACAACCAAGATGTGACTTTGCAAAAACTCTGATATTCAACAACCATATCACACAACCCACTGGCATCTCTATTAGCAGCCGCTCAGCAGGCTCAGTGGAGCCCTGGCACTCGGTGCCGCTTTTTCTAGGACCCGGACAGTGATGCCAAACTGACTTAATTACACCACAACTGGCTGCTGACGCCCTAAACTGCTCTCCACTTCTTCTCTTTCATTTTCATCCACTTGAATCTGTGCCTCCTGCTCCTTCCAGCCATCGAAGCACTGGCAGCCTTTTTCTGTTTTAAGGCTACATCAAGGGATATTATTGATGTTAACAATACATCAAATGACTCCCTGTAATGTAAAAAGGTTCTTTGCTATTATTGCTGATTCCACTGAGAATAAGCAGTCAGCAGCTTTCCTCCTGCGCGCTCGAGTGTTCTTGCGTACGTCACTGACACAGTTTATAATGAAAGGAGAACAATGCAATCACATTCTAATACAAACAATTCTATTCTCACACATATAAGTGCCTGAACACATACAGAGGGAAAAACATGAGACATCTGACACTGACAGAAAATAACACCTACACTAATGATCACATTGGTAACAGAGTGGAACACCATGTAACTGTGCACAGTGCACTTTAGCACACTTGTACTCTCTGCAGTGGTGCCTCAGTGGTTTGAGCTGTGGGCTGATGACATGAATGAGAGTGAAGTGTTCATCTCTTTGGTTAATTGAGGTTATAAAGTGTGTGTATTCTTTATATTTAGAATGCATTATTAGGGAGCTTGAATAAAAGGCAGAGAGAGAGGTGTGAGACACACATCAGCACACATCTAATACTAGAGTAAACTCATAATAATGTGATATTTTATACAGTCAGTACTCATTATATAATATAAAATATCCTATAAATATACTTGAGTATAGTTGTACTATGGATTGTGTGTGAAGTGTATCACAACTTTATACTTTTATAGATTAGGACCATAGAATGTTTATAAAAATGGACAAAGTTTTTCAAATAAGAAAAGAAAAAAAGCCAAAATATCCCAAATGTGAATCTTGCGCTCGCTGACATCATTTGGAGTCTGCGCAGTACAGCAATCATAGAGAGGAGCTGCAATATCGACCAATCATGGATCACTCTCAGATGTCAATTATGACTTTTCATCTGTTTTTTCATTGCATCAAATAACTAATTAAAAGTAAGAAGAACTATACTTAAAATCAAGACATTTACTTTTTTACTTTAACTTTTTAGTTTGGACCATGTGCCATCCACAAACATGGAGGAGGACCCATACCTATACTTTATATACAGTCTATTGTTTAGACTTCATTTCTATCATCTATCAATCAAATGACTGCGATCTGGGATTTTTGGTTTGGTGTTGCTACAACGATGTCACTCAAAGCAAGAAACAAAATCATATGAGCAGAGAGATCATTGAAATTATTTCATTGGCTGTTAAAAGTCAAAACGAGGAAATAACATTGACACTTTTTTTCCCCAGATAAGTTTTTCTGGCCTGGGGTTTTGTTTGATAAAACCCCAATTATCTGCCTGTCTCTGTTTCTTGCCCCCATCAGACTTTGTTTGAACATTCACATATTCTTTCAGGAAAAAATGTCCGGAAAGTAAAATATTACCAGTGTAATAGGAGCGATTGCCCAATCATTGTGTTACATGTTGAAACAGACAGAGACAGAGATGGTGAGCAGTCACAGGGGAAATTAGCGAGAGTGTATGTGTTTGTGCATAACTCTGTGTTGTTTTTTGTGTGTCGTGTCAATGACTGAGTGAGTTAACTTGACTAAGAATACAGTTAACACGCTCAGCTGAACCCTAAATACACTCAGGGCCGTGATAAGCAAAGTCACGGGCCATTGACTTTATATGCAGAAAATGAAATCTACATTTAAATCCGACAAGTTGAAAGGTAGCAGTAATCTGACTTGCTGTGTGTGTCTATGTAATTGAACAACAGACAGTAGCGCATCTGCTTGCAGAGATATCACAAGATTCCCATATTTAAATTTTTTATCCCTTGCTTTGCACTATGGAATTAATGAGGGAAATTAGGATGTTGCTTGAGGCGGTAAACAAAGAATTACACATCAGAGCCATACAGAGTGTCTGTAAAATGTTGTCAAACCTCTTCTGAGAAAACCGTCGACACAAATTCAGTTTGCTTCATCCAAACACTCACACTGTGTGATGCCAAGGCACTATCAGCTTGAATATCATAATTTAGTATTACTATTAATAATATCATTTATTTTCATGTATTATGAAGGAAAATGTCCTCTGGCCAAGGACTGAATGGCATATTAGAATCCAAGGTGTTCTTCTCCTTGCTAAGGCAGTGACCATACTCCCAGAGATTTCTTCATTTCATTTTAAAATAGGGGTGCACCCATCCAATACTGATATTGGACCATAGACTAAATATAAAGATGAGAGAAGCATCTTCACTTCCTCTTACTATTCAGAAATGAAGCCAAATAGCCCGGATGTGATCACATCTTAAGCCAACGACGTCATTTGGAGACTTTGCAGTATTGAGCAGAGGTATAGAGCCGCAGAATTCAAGTTCCACCAACACGCTCATCATGCATCTCCATCATACTAGAGCAGTGATGACCTCCATGCAGAAAAGTTCACAAGCAGGGCTCCAAACTGCTGCAGTGATTATACAAAGAAGCTATTTTTGTACTCAGAACTGGCCAAAGCTCATTTATCAGTATCGAGACTGAAAAAGTCGGACCAGTGCATCTCTAATTTAAAGGGGTCGGTTTGAAAGCCATAACATTAAGGTCATTTAGCACAAAAGTGTTCTCCACTTTTGCCCGTAGGTAGAGCTTAGGAGTGATTAGCTTCTCCACTGGCCTCGGGGTGAATTCCACCTGAGCTTACTCTCCTGTGTCTCTCCCCATCACCATCTCAGTTGGCTGATATCACCAGGGGTTCTTTAATTTCTCATAGCTCTGAACAACCAGGGATACTTGGTCAGTGTGGAGCGAATTTAACGAGCAGAAAGTTATATCTGTGGCTTGACTTTTAACTGGCTAATCACATTTGTGTGCTTCTTGCTTTTTATGCCAATGTATTTTATTAATGATGTTCAGAAGTTGGTTTTTGCGATGAATGGAAAACTGACAGCAGCCATGCAAAACCCATCCATCCATTTTCCTTTGCTTATTTCAGATCGTTCACTGAGGCAGCAAAGCAGAGTGTTCCAGGTGACCCTCTCCTCAGCAACGCTTTCCAGCTCTTCTTGAGGGGATCATGAGGCCTCACCTGTCCAGATTGGATGTGTAGTACCTGGGTCTACCTCTGGGTGTCCAGTTGGGTGTGTGAGATCCCCAACCACGTCATCTATCCCCTCTCAAAGTGAAGAAGCAGCAGTTCTACTCCTCACCTCATCTTTCACGGTGAGCACAGCCACTCAACGGTGAAAACAAATTCTGGCTGCTTGTATTTACGATCTTTAAATGTCACGAAAATGGAAAAAAAATAAGCATCTAAGCTGAAATGCAGGAATGTTCTATTATCAAAGATATACATGAATCCTTCTTTCTCACTTTGAGCTTCTGCAAACTATAGCCCACATATGAAGATTTCTCCTGTATAGCAGTGAATACATGACAGTATTTTTTTTTGATGATTACCTGCTCTGTGATCACTTAGTAAGCCTTGTCTAATTTCCTCATTATCTACCTTGTGAGTACAACAGATTTTAAATGACTGATGATGCATTTCACTGCCACAAAACATTCAAAGATTAGACAGAAGCAGCAGATTTATGGCTTGTTGGTTCCCTGGAGTATTTGGCTAATCAAATGTACATAATTTTTCTCCCTCCTACCAGTCAGTGGAAAATTGTGCGAAACAAAGGTCTTATTTCTCAGTACTTGATTTCAGCTCTGACTGTGAATAGCTTCTTTGGGAAAGAGTTGGATTCTGCCCCAATGTTCCCGGGCTTTCATCTGCGAAAATTTGACTTGAGGGACTCATTTCATCCACAGGCTCCACTGTTTCCTCTATCTATATTCTCGACTGACTGGAGTCTTTTTTTGTCCTGGCTGGGAATGAGAGAGCTCTGGCGGAGGTGGCCGCAGGGCTTCTTGATTGATTAGAATTCTTCAGAGGGAAAAGAGCTGAGTAGTTCTGAGGCTTGGAGTTTGTGTGAAATGCGAGGTGACACAGGGCACTAGGTTACAGCCAAAAATGCACACATTGAAGATGTTGTTTACTGCAACAAGCACAAAGTGTGCAGATTTAGGTTTGTGTCGAGGGAAGCGTTTCACAGAAATGCACAGGGGATCTTTTGCAGGTGTCTGTGCAGGTGCTTTTGAATCCAATGACCAGTGCATTCTTATACTGAGCCTTGGGACAGTCTGACATTAAACTATACACTCAGAGCCGGCAAGAGCTTAATATAAACACTGCTGACCCATTATTTTCTTCAGTCTAAGGAATATATATAAATAAATTAATATTTTCTGGGCCACATAGGTTTTCTTTGAATAAATCGGGGACAGACGTGTTCCAAATGATCCCAGCTCCATGAAAGCATGAATCCTTGCTAGTAAAATTGGAAAGTGCACGCAGCTCAGATGGGCTGAATAACCTCTGCAGATGCTGGTTGGAGAAAGCAAACACAAAATACCAAATATGATGAAATGGAGCCATTGACGGCACAGAGCATCAGACCTTGGCTTTTTTTGTGGGACTGGAACATGATATGTCATTGAGAATCCATAGTCCCATCACTCTATGCAAACGGCGGAGAGCAACCTGTGTGTTTCATAATAGTACATTTAATCTCAATTACAAATATCAAGTAAGAGTGAAATACGACAACCTGAGGTACCTTAAGACTGTATGTAAAGATGGACGACATGACTGCTCCCGAAAAGTGAAGCCAAGCCACCGAATGACTTGCATCATGGCGGCACCCATATACTGAAATTTTAGCGTATTTTTACAATGGGAGAAAGTTAAGAAGTGTCGTCCTTCTGTATATGCTACGGTTTAGTAAGTAAGGATTAAGAAATCTAGGCAGTCAGGAATGCCAGTCAGCTAGTTTCATCCCAATCCAACAAACAGGTTGATCCCAGAGGCAATAATCTGTATCTAAAGGCATTAGCCCAGTGTGGACATTGTGGGGCCAAAGGGTGAAATCCTTGACTACATAAACTGCGACAGCGATTGCGACCGTGTTTACCGATGCTTCTGTGAGCCACCGTTTAAAAGGGTTCACTTAGGGGTGTAGCAGCTGCTCAAACACTTGCTGTTGGTGGTTGGACAAATGACATCATGCCAAATAATGAGGGGGAGCCACTGTACAGGAGAATCCATAGCTAATTAGAGCAGCTGGCTTTTAAGCCCGACAGTTTGACGAGGACATCAAGGAAGCATGTGCGCCGTGCGTCGATACTGTTTATGTTGCTCCCTCTCGCGCAGCGCTCAGCAGTATTGGATGGGTTTCATTGCCTATAAAACAGACTGAGTGGACAATGAATGAACGCCACATTGCGGTGAGGGTTGTCAGCTTCACCTTATCTGTGGCCAAAATGATTTAGGTAAAAGCAACTCACTGTAAAAGATTTCATAGCTGTAACTTCTGCCTCTTACTGAGGAATAATATCAGTATCAGACACCACTTGTCGGGCCTGTCTTTAATTTACTTTCCTCCCCATTTAAGTTGTCATGTAAAGGAATAACCATCGTTACTCCTCCTGATTAAAAAGCATTATTTATTAGCGTCAGCTGGAGTGATGGATGCAGCTGCTGTTAAGTTACAGTGTGCGTCATTATTTTAAGGAATCATTTAATTGGATCTCGCTCTTATAACACTTGTCAATATGTATGTAATGAGCCGCTAACGCGCTCCCTGTAAAATCGCACTGATCAATGCTGACACATTCTCCGCGCTGCTCTGATTAACCTGCAGAGACGGGCTTCACTGCGAACACACCTGAGCATCCCCAGCACGCACAGGTTTTGGGTTTGATTGCTTTAATATGTTTCGAACACTGTCAAATCTTTCTTGAAAGGTCTCAGAACTGTTTTACTGGCCTGTTGCCTGGAGTCAAATTCAGAGGCTGTATAAACCCTACAGTCTACTCGATGAAAAATTAATATTTTCTCACCGGGTCTCTCGCTCTCTCTTCTTCGGCAGCATCGTGCTCATTAACCCCCTCTCATTCTACTCAGCCACGTCCTGTTCGCTGTGTGGTTGCACTTCTCATACAGAAGTATTAATTCTATCTTTGATTAACGATCAGTGTTGTTGTACATTTCAGTTAATTTGGATTAAGCTGGAGACGTACGGAGTGCTCCTGTTCCCAGAATGTTATGTACACCTTAAAAACAGCAGAGATGAAATAGGGAGGAGTTTTGATTAAAAATAATAACTAATGACTAGGTGAAGATGCTGCCTCTAAATGCTTATGAGAAGAAGTGAGAAGTGAGAGGTAAAATCTGTATCATTTCTATATTCCTGTTGTTTGATGTCACTACTTAATTGCAAATATCTTCATTTTCCACAGCGGCACCAGTCACACTGTCTAGATGAGTGTTTTTGCATAACAGAGAGCTCTGGTTGAGATTTTACATGGAATAAAATCAGCATTTAATCATGTTTGAAAGGTTTGTAGCAGCAGGAACACATATGAGCACTTTTGTAAAAAAAATAGAGAGGAATGAAAAAGCAAGCATTAGTGCAAGTGGACCAACCTGGAGCTAATGAGGCTTTTATCTGTGAATGGAATATCTTCCACAGCCTTCCACATCATGGCCAATTCTGTCTGTTGTGCCAGTACATCAGTCTGTTTTTTTTTGTTTTTTTTTTCATGGCCAACAGAGTCAAAAGCTTTGAGCGACGCTGCTGAGAACACAGGCCACAGTGCAAAGAGCTCAAGTCCATCTGCTTCATTTTTCCAGTTGCACACACTAAAGTGGGTTTTCCTTCTCCCTCGTTGGTCTGAGATCCGTAACTATCGATTCTGGCAGCCAGGCAGCTCCCGTAATTAAAAAAAACTTTCTATGTAGAAGATGGTAAACACTGCTCAAAGCCAACTGTTGCAGGGCTCCTCAGCCTTAATGAGATTTCAGTGGAAAAGCGAAGCGACCCGGAGAATCAATAGTTTCTCTCGCTTTCTCTCTCAAATGCTTTTGATGATCTTCTCAGAGGCCCTGATCAGTTTGGGCTGATGAAACTCAATACTTGTTCACGCCCACTCAGATGATGTTTAAGTCTTAGAAAAGGATCAAAAGCCGTAACTTAGTTATAATGCATTATGTAACCGTAGCACTGTTGGGGAACTTTCTATTTTTCTATCACAGTGAAATCCTTCATTTTCAGTCCCTCTATTGGATGGAGATGTAGACAGGATCCGTCTGTGGAGGCTATAGATAAATGCGTCTCCCAGCAGGTGCTTGACAGTGTGGGTGTCACCTCATTAAAGCTTCAGTCTTTATTAACATCTTGTTTTATTCTGCAGTGTTCTGTCTGAGGGAGGGGCGGAATCAATAAAGCATTTACTTCATTTTCCACTTTGCAGCCGCTAATCTGCACACGACTCCCTCAGTTTTAACCTCAAAACCGAACTGTGCCGTTTGCATTCAGGAGGATGTTGTGAAATCAGCGATGAAAAGCACGTTGTCGTTTTCAGGCACATGGATATTTGGCTAAGAAACGATATGGAGGGAAAGGAAGGTGATATGCTGTCTATCCGTTTGCTATCTGTATTACCATCCAGAGCTTACTCTCACCGTAATTTTCTGATCACACTTTTGTCGTCTACCTGCACGGCTGCCATTAGCTCTGCAGGGAGCTCCACATGCACGATAAACAGATCAGTAGTGGAAAACTCAGAATAAAAAGGGTTCTGGACCATTAGCGCTCTCAAGCCTACCCTCTAATAAAGATTGTGACTGTGGGATTGCTTTTCATTATTTCCCCCTCCTTTGTGCATCAGCTGCATTTCTTTAACAAGGTGATGAACATTTAATCTAAAGTGTCTGTATTTGATTAGCATCTTTACATATCTCGACAACAATGAAAGCAAAACTCACTCATTTTCACGTGTGAGACATAATTTCCCAGAGGTTAATAATGCAGCAGACAGTGATCAACAGAATTACTGTTCTTTTAATTCACACAGCTTAAAATGATTTTCAACCTCACATCCATTATTTACAGCGGAGCACGTGGGGATTTCTGTCTTTTTTCGACAGAAGGATTGAAAGAGTGAGACGTCGCATATTCCTTTCATGCTAAGCCTAAACATGCACAATACATCGAGCAGTATCTGCCTCATTTAATGCCACACACTGCTGAAAGTTGAGGCTGCGTAACCGAGAGGTGCGCAGCACTTTGTTTGTGTGTGTTATGATTATAATTATAGCGTGTGATGTGTTTCTT